AACCGACTATGAGGTTATCGCTGAGCGGTGATGTTTGCGCAGCTCAGACGAAGTGATAATTTTAACACTGAAAGGTGATTATTCGCCACTAACGCCAATGTTGCTCTTTTTTGTGTTTTTCTGTAGTGATTTTGATTACTTGAAATTCAATTCAAAACATTTGAAATTCGTATCAGCATTAAATAATTTGACGAAATGAGGAAAAGAAGTATTTGAGAAATTTAATTGTGTGTGATTTTATTTTAATTAATCGAAAATCATAGTAGTGATATCAGATTGAGAAACTTTTACGTTGTTCCGTTAGCAAATATGGACACACAATTAACAAAAACATCGAAAGGACAAGGACTCTAAAAAATAGGTTATATAAGAAAATTTTCCGGCTGGAAAATACCAACAACAAAAATAACCAAAGAAGGTAACCGGATATTTACTATTAAAAAGTCCACCTGCAATACACCCAATACACCTGTTGCATACAAATATGAAAGCGCACAAACAAAGTACAGGAAAACCGAGGAGATCACCGGAGGATCGTACTGAAATGAAAAATGTAGAGGAAGTTCAGAGAGAGGATGTGCTTCAATGTATTTACCTTATGATTGTTTATCTTTGCAAACACATTCCACATTACTTATGTTCGTGGAGGTATGTCTGTGCGTATGCATGTGTTGACTGGTGTTCGTGGAGCCACAAACGACTTCCGTTCGCGAGGATTCGACAGCAAGCGAAAGGCATTGCATGTGTTGTGCTTATAACTTTTATTGCTACGTCTCTCTTAAGGCGGGTACATCAATTTTCTGGTCACGATATAAGCTAATTAAAAATTGAGAGAATTTCATACAAAACGCATTGCATATGCATTTATATTTATTTATAAGACATCAAGTACTTACCTAACTCCATGCAAGTATGACTCCACGCATTGCAGAGCTGTGACTCGAAAAAAAATTTTGAAGGCGTATTTTAGCCTGAAAGTGGAAGCTGGGATTCTAATTGCAATCACTTGACTCGCTTTCTTCATACTTGTATGTTTTATGGTCAATCGCAAATCTTGTCATGGTCTCATACAACTTTTACAATGAAATCCGATGTGTAAATGTCCCATCTCTTATGCAAGTGCATTGGATCAATGAAATATTGAGTCGTCCACTAAGTAATTTGGTTTATTTAATGTTTCAGCAATTTCTCGAGTTGTTATTCAACGATTTGCATCAAACAACGACTTTATTTTATCCACGTCGGCTTCAAAAGCCCTTCCAAGACGTGGTTCATCCTCAAGATCGAAATTGCCGGAATGAAATTTTGCAAACCATAATTTTCGCCTTGCTTGAACTGCATTTTTACTCTTTTGATAGTAAAACAGTAAAATATGCCGAAAATGACCTCCATCTTCGATAGGGCTACAAACAAAAACTACTTGTATTACAAAAAATTTAAGACGAGTTTTTACAAACAAGCCTTATTATATCAGCTGTTCAAATATATAATTGTAAAGCGGTTAAGTGTGAAGTTGGTTGCGAAAAATTCAATCAAGATGACCTGTTGGCATCAAACGAAATTACTTAGTAACTTGTCATTATAATACTTGCATTCATGTAACTCGTAATATATCTTCATAAAGTACTTCATTGATCGGATCGGATGATGTAGGTGAGAAGAGATTTTGGTTGCATAAACTCAACAGCTGCGTCGAATGACCAGAACTACATGAACAGCACATCTTCCATGGTATTTTTGTTCAAAATACCATATCTGGACATGCCCAATTATGCAACAACTGAAAATCTGCAGAGTTATCGTAGAAAGAATAAGCAACTGGCAACATAACCACGCACACACACACGTAAATCACATACATTTCTGTTTGTGTAATTTCTTGTTAATCTCTTATTTCATAAAAATAAGCAGCCTAAAAATAAATTAAATTATCACTGAAGTTGCAGTCAACAACAACAGCCGCGTGATCTACGCTAGTTCTTGTGTACTCAACAACAATTGTAACAACAACAATGACGTTGATGTTCATGCTGACGTTGCCAATTGCTGTAGTTGTGTCTGTATTTGTGCCCCTGCGCTCGCCTCACCATCAGTTCTCTTGCAGGACGGCAGTTGCAAGCAAATTGGGAGCAACAGATTCAGTTTAGCTCAGCATCCGTTGTCAGAAGTTCACGTTTTGCTATTGCTGTGGGGCTCTTCTGCCACATAGCACATAGTGATTTTTAGGGAGGCATAGGCAAGTGTTGGTGGTGTGTTCCCCTGCAGGGAAACCAATCGGCTGCTATTTCTTCTCGTGTTCTACCTAAAGATGTTTTTTTACACAAAAAAAAAAAAAAATTGCAAACAGCACGTTCAAGGGGCGAGAGAGGATGAAAAGTACACGGTTTGAGGTTCAAAGTGAAAACATGCTTCCAACACCCTTCGTAAGTGCCTTGAGAGCCTGCTTGTAGGGATCGATCTAGGGAAATGGTTTTCATAAATTTCAACAATTTCCCTGAGGCTTCCTCGGAAGAGTTACCAAGCTACTCAAGTTAAAGCAGTGCTCCCATATAACGGAAATATCTCGAGACCTTAACTTTCCTGTTTGACAGCCATCAACTTAATCAGCTGAAATTTTATTTGATTGCGCTTATTTCAATCTGATTCAACACCAATTCTGATCGGCACTGCCTCGGATTTTCACCACCTGAAATTGCTGAGATAACTCACTCTTTTGTAACTGTAAAACAGCATACGAGTACCAATATGATGCCGCATATTTCCAAGTATTCATATGTACATACGTAAATATGTTTGCAAGTGCGCGTGGACGTTGAGAGCTTGCTTGTGGTGAACGGATGCTGGGTGCCGGTGTAGCATCTCCATCGTCTGCAACATAAACGTGCATTTTGTATTGCTATTATTTCTGCGCTACATAATTTCTTTTGCATTGGCGGATGTAGCTCTTTTGATGATTGTTGTTGTTTCTGTTGTTGTTGCTTTTGTTGCAATTTAGCTGATTTCCTGTGTGTTATAGTGGGGCATGTGCGTCCGCTCACACATGGTGCACCCCAGCAACTGAATGACAGGCTGACGTACCATTCAACGGAATGGCGGAACGGTTGTCGGTGAATGTGTTTGTATGCCACCTATGTACATACATATGCCACATTAGGGTAATCCACATACAGATGAACTTCTTAAGGATATTTCAAACATATAGGCCCACTTGGACTTAGATGTTAACACTTTAGATAAATGCGGAGAAACGAGGCCATCAGAACAACGGAAAATTACCAGAAACATTTTGCTTGAAGAGTGCATAGAAATATACCTACATATATGTATGTACATATATTTATTATCGCACACCCTAGTATGCATGTTTTCATACATTGTTGTTGTTGTACAGTGCTATGCTAACATCCGTGCGTATTTATTAAAATGTGTGGGTTTGCGTTCGATTATGAGTACACGTTGTATTCTTCAAATTTCTATGTAAATATGCGCATACATACCCACACACACACACACACACACACATGTACATACTGATATGCATTTACATTTTCATGTGCATGTATATATATCTATGTACATATGTTGCATGCATTTAAAAATAAGTGTCTCGCCGCAATGCAGCGGCCCGCGAGAGTACAGCGGCGCGCCGTGTTCCTTTCTCATTCCCAACTTTTGGCCACAGACATTTTGTTCTGCATCGCTCTGATTGCGTTCCCTCCACACTCGTAGGCAGTGGATGGTGCTTATCGCTCGGAGCAATTGAACACCGTTCTACATGTACACACACATGCGCAGTCGTACGCTTGCCTTTGCGGATGCACATCTCTATATATGCGGCTATGCATGCATGTGTTGGAGTGTGTGTGTGTGCGTGCATGAAATTGTGCTCTTCCCGCTCTAGAATGTTTTCTTTTATTTATTCGTCTACATACATACATATATAATTGGCCATACACTTGTGTGTATGTGGAGTGTTCGCTAGTCAGTTTGTCGATGTGTTGTTGTTTTGCTTTCAAATCCAAGAGATAAACAAACTGCCAGTTCACTATCAATCAAACACCGGAAGCAGCTGCTTTAGTTTTATTTTTCCCTCATTGCCTGCTGTCGCGGGCACTGTGGCTGTTGTAGTTGTTAATGCTTTTAATTTTATTTGATTTTATTGTTGTTGCCAGAGTTGCTTCTGCTGCTGCCGTGTGCCATCATTTTTACCTCTGCCTGCATTTTCCTCGGCCACACGTTTTTGGATATACTTTTATATGTATGTTATGTATTATATGTACATACATACATAAGTAAATATATACCTAATTGTGTACTATAAATGCTCTCAGTGAAGCCTCGAACTATTCAGGTAAAATATCGGGACTTTACCATGTAATATTTTTATTTTTTGAAAAGATAGTCGACGAACCAATAATTTTTAAATATCAAATTGCAACAATTATCCGTTGTTTGTATGAGATAAAAAACAGCCGACAGCCTGAGATTTTATCCAAATGCGTAACATTTTCTTATAACTTTCTTGCTTTTTAAGAGACCAAAAATTAATTTTCTTAATATTTTCCAAAGATTTGACTATATGAACATAAGTTTACATAAAGTCAGGGAATATTCGACATGAAATACGATTCGGAGAGAAATTCTATCTGGGAGGGATTATAGTCAACACTTAGCAGAACGGACTACAAATGACAGTGTTCGGCGAGAGCTGCTGATATCCATCATTCATTGGTGCAACTCCGCTTCAGCCTCAGCCTCTGCCGAACCCAGTGTATAGACGAAGTTGAGCCGTCAAACGTGTCATCTACTCCATTTTATTTGGCTGATCGATAAAAATTACTTTAATTGGCATATCGCTCTTTTTGACGCTGCAAAGAATTTGCAGGCAATCTCTCGCTGGATAAAATGAGTAAAGCAGAACTGCTACTGCTGAGCGTAGCTGATATCTCCAACACAGTGTATAGCAACTAAAGATTTTCTGGCAATAAAAACGCACTGAGTTTAAATTTTAGTATTTTATGATTTTTTTTGTTTATTTATTTCGTATTTAATAATAATAATCATTTCTTCAACTCTATGAGTGCATCATCATTAACATCATCATTCTCGTTAACTTTAGTATGTATGTTTGTTTGTGTGTATGTATATATGTATGTGCTCTGTATGCAGTATAAATGTATGTATGTTTATGTTGGTATTAATGCGTGTGTGAAGTCGATTTGGTTACTTTCTTATTTTTTTTTATATTTATTCCCTTTTCATTGTTTTAGTGCATACACGCCACATACGATACATACACACACTTACGCATGTACATGTATAGACAGTATGGTATATTAACACACAGTTGGTTTTTAGTGTTTTATCTTTTGAAATTTACAATCGGTTTGAGTCTATTTTTCTTTCATACATTTATTAGTAGTAGTAAAATATGTTACAAATAAAATAAATAATATTTCTCTTCGCGTATTAAAAACAAAACAAATTTAAACAACACTCCCCCACATACAACACTCCACACTCACACACACACATATTCGTTGCAGTCCAAATACGAACTGCTAAACAATTTTTCCACATTTCGACTTTTTACGTTGGCTTAAACGTGTGTGTGTGAATGTATAGACTTATACACGTGTGTGTGTGTATTTACGCGCAGAGTTGCCATGCAAAAATCGTGCGCAGTCCGAACGAGTGTCCGACGGAGCACCCAAAGGACTATGCGAAGGTGTAATGTAGGCGTGGTGCGATTAATTTTTTGAAACACTGAATAAAACATTGCTTCTACACTTTTCGGCTAACGACTGATTAATTGTAAGTGCTTTTGTACGGTTCGGCTGGGACCCGGAGTCAGTTTTAAGGGCGATTTTTCGGTGCATTTCCTTTGCGTAATTACGCACACACAAAGGTATGGAGTTTGTTTTACTTTTTTTTAGATTTAGTCGATTTCTATTTTTTTAGTTTTGTTGTTGCTTTTTACATAATATTAAATTAGTCTCAATTTTACATTAATTACATATACAATTTAATTTTACTTCGCTCAAGTTTAATTTTAATTATATTTGTGTAACAATAATAAAGTTTCTCTTTAAATTTAAACAATAGTCATAATAATAATAATAATAATAGTTGTAATTAAATTCCGTAACTAAAATTAATAACTAAGATAAGCTTGGTTTTTTGTTTTGCTTTGTTTTTTCTTGTTTTTGTTTTTGCTTTTTAACCTTTGTTCATATTACAACTATGTTTTCAGTTATTGAATAGTGACATTTATATATACGTGTTTGTATATATATATATATGTATATATATATATCTGTAAGTATAAATAAAATTTAGTAGTTTTAGCTTCGTACCACTACTCACTATGCTCAATATTACACGAAACAATTTACAGTTCTTATCTGTCTTTAATTATCAAAGATAAGTGACGATTTTCGATTGGACTTTAAATTGGCGTTGGTTTCCACAATATAACTGTGTAAATAATAAATTTCCCCACACTTTCTTCGCGGAATATTACAGACATATCTCGGAGTGGATATAAGGAATCATAAACACATATATACTTTATATGTACATATACATATTATATATAGTGTTGCATTTGTAGAGCCTTTTATTTAAAAATTTCGTTTGGTAAATAATTTAGAATTTACGTCACACATTTTACATATATACACTTTAACTTACTTCTTTAACCAACTATAGGATTTTTAGTATTCTTCGTATAAAATAAACGATTTTCACTTGTATAAAAATAATATTTACCATGTGAGTAGAAAGTTTTTGTATTTAAATCTTTACTGATTACTCTCTTCTGATTAGTTTGGTGTTTAAATCTTTTCATGAAAGTGCCGCTATGAAATTACGTTAAATCCGTTATACTTTATGGTATATCGTACGGTTGTGGAAATATGTGTAAGTATAAGTATGTACATATGGGTATTTATAATTTTTTATATTTTCTATGGCTCAGACAGTATTTCAGGCAAAATAGCATCAAATCAATTAGTTATGGCTTTGCAATTATTTATTTACCGTAATAGTAGTAATATTTCCTACGGATATATATGGTACACAAGAAAAGATGCGTTACAAAATATCCCGATTGATTTTGAATGCTTTGTGAGAGAAAATATGCAAATCTAAATAGCAAGAAGAGGGGCAAAATTTTTAACTGAAACAGAATTGTAAAGTAAGGCAAGTTTTTCAATGTAAAAGCTTTATAAACCAAAGCTTAAATTGAAAAATAAAACTTTAATTCGAGCTTTTTGCTGCTTTGGGAACTTTCTGGTTTGTAAACTTTTGTAAATTTTTTAATTGCTATAAAGGCAAAACCGATATTAAAATGAGGTAAAACCGAGTTCGAGCTTAACAGCTAAATTAACCTCTGGTCATATTCGTCATCTTTATTTGAGGCAATTGGCAAGATACACAATTTCGGAAACTAACATTGAGTTCAACATTTTCATTTAGCTTTTTGAAAACTAAAGCTATAGAAAGTGAAAGTTCTCAACTGCCACCTTTACAAAACCAAAGCAGTAGCTGATTAGTACTCAGCGCGTTTTGGTTAGCTTTTCCGGCAAATTCTGTAAATTTCATTACCGAACGCATCTCTGGCCTTTGGAGGTTACTGCAAGACCTAAACTAGCTGATTTGATAGCAGATGTAATGTCTTCCTTTTCCTTTTCGCTGCTTTCCTTGTTTCTTAGTAAAGTGCAATGTTTAATATTTTTTCTTTTTTTTCTAATTTTTTTGCTTTTATACGCTACAAAAAGTTTTCTATATAAAATACATTTTATGAAGATTTTTATTTTTTATCTGTACATACACCTACAAACGCATGCCAGTGTACGTACATACATATATAATTTATATATAATTGTTTTCTTTGCTTCTTGTTTCCCTTTTTTGTTATTTAGATTGTAGGAATCAAAAGAATAATGTATGAATGCGAGCGCGGCAAGCGGCTTTCATAAAGCTTTCCGAATAGCTTTTGAAATACATCGCACATTCACGTTATCCATTTGCGGATAATATTATTATTGAATGCATTACTTTCTCTGTTCTTCAGTTTTATTGTTATCTATTATGCTCAAAAGGAGTGTTGAACTGTTAAATATGAGTGTATTTCGTCGGACTTTTGGAGCGCATCCAAATACTCAAGGTAATCGGTTTAAACTAACACACAATTACTATACATTTGTGTGGTATGTTTGCATATTCCCCTCACATTTCTATGTCAAAAATTTTACGATTCGGAAAAGAAAAGAAAAAATTACAGCGCAAATTTTAATGAAAATTATCAAAATTGTTTTGTTTATGATGTCGCGTAAGCTAAAGCCTTCTGTGTAGCGTTTCAGTGACCAGTGTCTTCAAAAGCGCACCCTAATTTGCCTTAGTTATTCGTTTACATAACCTCTAAATTTTTACGAGCTTTAAGCTTTTCCATACACACACTCTCGTTTTCCGATTATTACACTTAGTTTTACACTTTGCAACTCTATACGAGTACAAGCGCCTGGTTTACGACTTCTTATATACAATTGTTTTATTTAATTACTTTTTAGTTTTCTTTTTACAATGGAATTATGTTATAAAGTATTCAATTAAATGTCAATGTTTGACACTTCGACCTGACTTAGATGGTGAACAAATAAAACGTTAAAGAAAATGTTTGTCATTTATAAAAAAGTTATAACAAAAATAATTTTTTAAACAATGATTTAGTTGTAAAAATTAATCGCTTGTGAAATTTAGTTGAAATTTACTACATTTTCTTGCTGAAAAACGTTGAAACTAAATTACGGTAAAATACGAAATATTTACGATTGGATCTGTATGGTAAAAATTGAAAAGTTCAAACTGAAATTAAAATTGCGTTTACACAATGAAATATTAACTGGTTAAAATTATGGTAGAAAGCACGCTTTTTAATTCTCTTTTAAATAACTTTTCTAATAATTAATAATTATCTGTTTGCAGTCTTTGGTTATTATTTTTTTACTCTAAATATATAGTTTATTCATGAATTTCCCATTTCGTTTACTTTTTTACCAACTCTATAATTTTATTTTCAACTTCTTCTTTGTTCATTTTAGTTCATTAAGTTAATTTCGTTCTGCGATTTCTGTTGTAAGAATTTCGCAGTTTTTTTCCTTTTTGTTTACTGTCTTCTCTACCCTTCTGTTTCTAGAACTAAGGAACTGCCGCGGCGGGCTCGGCGCTATGTGGCATCACTGATTGATTTACACCCTGTCCGGCGGTCAGAATAAATTTGGGAGAAGGAGTTAGAAATAGAGAGATAGAGATTGGAACTCATTGCGCACACTAAATGCAAGTTCTTTTACATTAAAATACTGTTGCTCAATTGTCAGTCAATTAACACTTCTCTACAATCAGGCGATTTTGCTCGATAAACTAGACTACTACCACCCCGCTTTATCCCCGATCCCATAGTCCCTATTCTCTAAGACTGCCTCACGCCACAACCCACCGCCAGCAGTGGTTCTTCAGTTGTAAATCTTCTCTGATCCAAATTGTACTCCATACGTATGTAGTACCCTAGATAAATGGCGTTTTCTAATAAAAATTTCAACCCCAGTTTGGCTGTAGATATATAGCCTTTAGTTTTAGTATTCGCCATTTGAATCGAGCAGTCGTTTCTTAGGCGTTAGATCGCCCTTTCGCATATGATGATTGTGATGATGATGATGGTTATGATGATGATGTCCATCAGCTGATTTCAATGAATCGGTACCACCATTGTTGTCGCTTAAAATGCTTGCCGTACCGCTGCTTCCATTTCCGTTAAGGCCCAGCTGTGATATCGGTATAATGTTTGTTGGCGAGTCCGTCTGTTGACAGCGGCAACCACGGCCCACAATCCGTCCGTAACATTTCTCACAGAAGGATACGCAGCCGCGCATAGGCCAATACAACCAAAGGCAGGGTAGTACGAGCGATAGTGCGCCCAGCCAACCCCAACGCTGCGTACGTTTATAGGGTCCGCATGAGCAGGGATTGTCAACGCATGGTGTACCGGAGCCATCATCGCAGTCCATGTCGTTGTCGCGTGCGCAATGGTAGAATAACGCCTTAGCGCAACACAGACACGACACATAATCGATGACTGATTCGGCACTGCATAGGCAGGTCTTATTGCAGAGCCACGTTTGCGGCAGATGGGGTGGACTTTGGCACTGTTCGCATCGGCAATGACCACATCGTGGGCAAAGCAGCTGATTCAATGAGGATGTATCACCACTGCTGCCCAGTATGATGGGTGTACCGAGTGGACTGGCGCCGTGTACAGCGGATATCATACCCTGCGGCGTGGAAATGCCCGTCGCTATGTTATGCATGGTTAACAAGTCGTCGAATGCGGGAAGATTTTTAGCAAATTTGCAATTATTGCTGCCGATGTGTGACGTTTGGCTAGTCGTTGAGGCGGGTTGTTTGGTGATTGCCGGAGTAAATGACTGTTGCGCGTTCAAAGAGCTGGTAAAGCTGCCCAAACCGCTGCTACTGCTCCCGTGCCCATTCTGCGCGACTGGAATCACCTTGCCAGTATGTGGACAGGTTGTTGTCGCTGTAGTGGGCGTAGGCGTTTTGTGATTATGATGCGAATGTAAGAAGCCGTCCGTGCCGTCGATGCCCGCCGTGACGGTCGTCGAAGCCACTGTTCCCGCCAAGCGGTTCGAATGTACCTGGTGTTGATGCTGGTGCTGCAGGTGTTGTTGTTGTTGCTGTTGACGGAATTCTCGCTGTGGCAGCAACAACAGATGGTGCGTTGTCGTTTGGCCACCATCATGCTGTCCCGCCGGATGTTGCGCGCGGGAAGCATGTTGCAGCTGCAGTTGATTCGGTAAGCCAGCATTTGCTGCAGCGTTTCGAAACGGAGTATCGACGTACTCGTTGGTGAGCCTCTGGGACTCGGGTCGCGGTTGAGCCAGCGTGACTGATGAAGCAGCAGCTAGTTCGGTGCTATGGAAATGACTGAGTAAACCAGTGAGGCCACTACTTAAGCCACCGTTATTGTTCGATTGGCTACGCGCGTTGTTGCTGCTACTACTGCTGCTGCTGTTGTTTATATTGTTATTTACAAGTAGTCGTGCAGCAGCACCCGGGGTAGGCGGTAATTGTCTGCGGCGTGTAAACGTATTCGCCGCAGTTATGGACGATGATGATGTCGAAGAAGATGTGGTGCTCACGTGACTGCTATTGCGGCTGAGATTCAGAGTGGTCGGCCGCTGCGGCAGTATCGTCAAATGATGAATCTCGTAATCCTCGAACTCTGGTTGCATCAATGTATTAACACCATTAGCGAGAACACCATCATTTTGACTGTTTGTACCAACACCTCGATCTGCCCCCGTAATACTATATTGACTTGAATAAATGTTGCTATTAAAATTATGCTGCTGCGGCTGTTGTTGTTGCTGTTGCTCTAGCTGATTATTACTAATTGTACATTGCGCTACTTCGGTGCTCGTCGTGTTCGTTGCTGCTGTCGCCGTCGACGTAGTTGTCGACATTTGCCGCTGTTTCTGCTTTTGTTCCTGTTCCCGCTGCTGCTGTTGCTGTTGCCACTCCGGTTGCATTTGCGCTCCGTTTAACATAACCTCTGGCTCGGGTGCTCGGGGACGATGTACACGTGGTAAGTGCTTTGGGGGCCGAGGTGGCGCCAAAATATCGCCGCCATTTCTACGATCCATGTAGTGTGGCAAACTATTGTTTGAGAAACCTCAATGCCCTCGGTACGCTAGCCGTGGACCATCAGTTTCCCTCATTCTTTTGCTCGGCTCTTGTTGCAGATCAACGAGTGCTATCGTCAATTACTCAGTTTCCGATTGGAGAGCAAATTTTTTATAATTCGGAGTGCGATGAATGTAAAACGATTGGCTTTCTGAAATTATAAGGATAGAAAAAGAAACCAGAAATTAGATGGTCGCACTTTTGTCAGTAAATAAAAGTATGCAAAGAACTAAATACAAGTATTGTATTGACTGACATGACTATACATATACTAATTATTATTTGTACTAATTATTATTTCCATATTAGGATTCTTATTTAGAGTATAGCACTTTGCATTAAGCCAAAAATATTTCAACACATTCCAATATAATTTTTTTGTTTTCAAAATTATTATAAATATTTAGTGTGAAGAATTTGCAAAACGATATCCAAAAACTTTTAAGTATTTTTCCGTCTTATTGTTTACACTTTTATAAGTACAACATACACATACACAATTTGCGGTATGCATATTAAAAAAAATATATAAATACCCTGTAGGAAGAGTCTGTTTGAAAAACCCAAAAAATAAATTACTTTTTATTTAACTTAGCCATAGTCTTTTTGTGTCTTGTTTGCCAATTTGAAAGTATATTTAGAACTCTGAGAAGAAAACTTGCTTTGCAGGTGTACTATTTGTACTCTCAGGCAATGCTTTACTGTAGAGCATAGGGTCATTCTTTTATGCAGGGTATGCGTAAATGATCTCATATGAGTATATCGACGTTGCTCAAGGTGATTAACTGTAAACAAAAACGGATTTTCGAAAACATTCAGTACGGAACCCAAAAAACATTGGTCATATAAGTACGAAAGTAGGAAAAGAATTTAGAAAATATTCCATCCTTGTTTTATTAAACGCGAGTTCCGTGTAAGAAATTTGCTTGGTAAAGAACTCTGTCTGAGTTTGAGTTAATCTAAATGGAATGTGGTCGGAGCTTGCATTTCGCACACAACATCTATTTTGTGTTCGATGCTGGAAGCGTCAATATCTGTATCTGTCGTTAAATTCCAGCACACTCGCATATTTATCTATTAGGTTATTTGCGCTTCTGCTTTAATTGTCGATTCAACACATTGCCTGTCGAAATAATGAATGAATATTTGGCGTTCGGCAGCCAGCGCTTGGCCAAATAACACACAAAAAGCCAAAGACAGAAAACATAAACAAATATTTAATTTAATCGATGTGTATTCAAGTAAAAATGATATGTATGTAAGTACAATATATCACCGAATACAACTTATTATTTCACTTTAACATATTTGTATTGTCTATAATTGCTTGTGATTTCCCCCAAAGACAAATATGAAGCTTTCGTTGAATGCCTGCAATCATTTCTTTCAATGAAAATATATTGGAATTTGTTTTTGTCATTTTTGTTGTTGTTGTGCTACACGAAAATTGCTTTCTGTATTTCTTATTAATGAAATAATGAAAACAGAACGGGTGTACAACACATGCAAACACATTGGCACACACTCACACACCCGCCACTCGTGAACATTAAAGTATCCGAAAATAACCACAAAAAGATAATTTAAAATTTGAAATTAAAAAATTTACGACTGAAAAATAGCCACAATTACGTGAAATGTTTAAAAATACAAAATCCCATGTTGGGTACAGAAAATTTTGTATTTCTACAAATATACATATATGCATATACATACATACGTATACTACATTCGATTTGGCAATCATAATTGTTCTTCATTATTCGTTGTTGTTGTCGTTCGCTCATGTTAAGTTATGCATACGTATAAATATGTTTGCAAAGGCACGAAATTGCCAGATCAGATAAGCACGGTAAATTTTGACATTAAGGTAACCATGATTTTCACTATTTTTAATCCGAAATTTTAATATTTTTCTCTTGTTTATATTTGCTAATTATTTATTAAAAATGTTTAAAAAAAAATGCTGTTAAAGTTCATATGGGGTTAACAGTGCTGTAGTATTCTACGCTACTTTAATAAGGTTGCTGTTTTTATTGACTTGGGTTAGATGAGAAAGTATTGCATTACAGCTTTTGGAAAGTTTAAAGTAAAGTAACGTTTTGAAAACGCTGTACGCTTTCTTCAAGAACAGTCTCCAAGAACCGTCTTCTTCAATCTTTGCATGGAGCGTATGTTGTTTGGCACATCTCAGCCATTGAGTATCGTTAGCGCAGCACACATTTGAGTGCGTTTGAGTACCCACATGCTGTTGGTCGCCTGCTGTGCTCTGCTTCGTTGTTGTTTGTCCCGCGCAAAACCGGATATGACGTCAATTCGGGGGCGTTGGTTACGTTTTCAATTAATTTTTCATCTTCTATTAATTTGTTTTGGCTTAAAATTCCGTTTGCTAACTGTTTTTTTTACAAGTTTGACATAGTGCGATTTTTTTTGCGTTTGTTCAATTTAGATAATACCAGCAGCAGAACATTATGGCATCACTGATATATCCAAAGAGAAGAGAGACATTCGTTGAATTTTTGCATTATTATAGAAATATAGGATAATTTCGTAGAATTATAGAATGATGCCTTTAAAGATTTAAAAGTCTCTAAGGCAATAAAAACCAGTAAAATTTGAAAAAACGTATCATATTTTCCCTTTATAAATAAGAATAGTGCCGATTTTTCATTTATTTACAGTTATTTTTTAAGCCTTGCATGACTTCTTTTTCACGGGAAATTAATTTTAAGTATTTTATAGAATTCAGGTATGGTATTAGAATGGCTGTGATTAAAAGGTTTGAAAATAAAAATTTTAAGTCATCGCAAATATATTGGTAGTATGAGTGTATATATTGCATTTAATGTTGTTCATATCAAAGTCACAGGCTTAGCATAACATTAAATTCAATAAACACACGCCAGAATAAACTAATTCATAAACATATGTACATACATACATGTATGTATGTATATGCATGGAGTAAATGATTATCGGCTCGGAAAAAATATTCATGTGTTCGCATTTCATTTAGTTTTTTTCGACGTTGCTATTATCAGACGAGAGCGGAAATATAATCAGCAGGCGACATTTAAAGCAAAAAACGAATAACTGTTATTGCCTACGAAACGAAAATGGGCACACATACATATGTACATAATAATTTTGATATTGGAGGCGAAATAAGGTTTTTCACAAAAAAACACATATTTAGCAGACCTTTTAAATGCATACATACATACACACATTCGTACATAGTATATGTATATATATATATATATCGTTGAATCGACAACCGATATAATCGCTTTGTATTCGATAACGCTTTCGTTGACTTTGCATTTATTACGTTACGTTAGATATTACGTTAATTAGCCGTTATACATTTCTGAATTTATGTATTGTTGAGATTTTTTATGATTTTTTTTTTGTCTTTTATAAAACGTCTTCCGCTCATCATATGAAATTGGAAGGCCATGAGCACTTCCCAGCGAGCCGCTCCGGCTCTTCCACGAATCTACCTGTGATAGGCAGCTCCCATGCAACAACTGCAACCAACAAGGTCGGCAGCTGCCATCAGCGGATGCCAATTGTGCGTAAGTGCTGCTTCTGCCTTCATTACACTCATACACACACGCATGTTGCATACTTGTCCCTTCTTTTCTTAGTATTAAGTGGTTGAGTATATGCTGCTGCACTTGCACCACATTAAAGAACACAGCAGGCGACTAAGAGTTAGAAGTGGCTATTAGAAGTCGAACAGTGTCATGAGCTTGTTCAAAATGTGCTCAAACATTATGTGTGCGAGGAAATTAAGAATGACAGCGCACACCCGTGTGTCGTGGCTGTGGAAGACATCATACAAACATGAGGTAGAGTGCGTCTGCTGGTTGCCACGATTGACTAATTGATGAAATAAACCCGTTTTCTGCTGGTCATTGCTAAGACTGTGACGTTTACGTATACAAACACATACGTACATATGCCAAACATTTACACATACCTTCATACACATACACATCGCTATATTCGCAGACATGCTTGGAAATCATTCATTTTTTATTGAAAGGTGTACGTAAGAAATAGACTGGGCGAAGAACATCAGTGCGTCATATTTGTAAGTATATGCGTGTGCATGTTCTCGTTACAAACTACAAGCTACGGTTCACAACAACAGCAATCAATGAAGCGATATCAGAGCTGCAACATTCGCTCGCATTTCTGCTGGTGATTGTGTGGATTAACGCAATTATTACGAATGCTTGCATTGTAAACAACAACAGAAAAAAGGCCCAACAACAACGAAAACGAAACTATTACTTACTATAAGCAGCAAACATTTCTTAAAAGACTAACCACACTGCAAGTTTGAAAAGAGCCACAGGTCGGATAACAACAGAAAGCCTCTGCAAAGGTCGATGATCACTTTTATTGTTACGGTTAAGCGCGCGACTACAATAAGCACACTGATGAATTTTCTTTTTTTACCAAAAAGTAAAGGTCAATCATGGAAACTTCTAATGCCAGCAAACCACTGAACTGAAAAATGTGTGCTTCTAGCAGCTACCGCTACTCAGCTGGGAGAGGCAACTATTCGGGTTCTAATTTGAAAATGTATAAAATATAAAATCTTCCGATCGAACTTATGAAAAATGTAATTAATTTGAATGCTTGCTTTATATCTTTCACACCAACGCTTCTTGCCGCATTCTTAAGGAATTAAGGTACAAATGTGCCAGTACGTATTTAGATAATTTAGACGAATGAATGGAATGCCGGTGAAAAAATTGTAATAAATATTAAAATGGTGTATGTATGTATATAAACGAATATACGAATATACGAATGTTTTTATGTAATTTGGGAAAATATTATAACGAAAAAGCGCACACGCCGTGAAAATGAAGATATTTCGGAGCCTCTTACGCACACGCTGTCATAAATTCATTGTGAACACACACAAACACGACATGTACACGATTAGACCCGTAAGTAATAGACGGCGATGGTGCGCTGTGTACCTGCAAATGCAAGTCGAAATTGGCATTCTATAGATATAATCGTTTATGTATGATATATGGGTGTATACACATTATGTATAAGTATGTATTTATCGATTTTGTATATTTTTCTACATACATATTTGTTTTTGAGCAACAACTGCCCACG